AGGTGCTTGCTTAAAAATGAAGTTCTCAACGTTGTCCCTCACAAAATTGAGATAAATTTTATTTGCTAGACGTCAAATTTTACCTTAGCTGGTGGCTCTAATTAATAGGGGGAAATGAAAACGATGAAAAAATATTCAAAAACATGCTCACGGGTTAGTAAAAAATATTCTTTTGAATGCGGCTTGAATAAAATTAACATCTACTTTTTTGGAAACAATAATTGATTGTATGCATGGGAATTCATGTGTCCTGTGCGGATTTAGCATCCTGTATCTTCAAAGCAAACAACATTTTGCTAATTCGTATTCGGATTATACCCATCTAGTCTTCCTATTTCGGTATAAAAATCACGTCATTCAAACAAAACAGCTATTTGTCCCTTTCTATTTTACGTTCGACCGTTTGGAAACACTACAAATGGTTGCATTTTAATAATTGTTCTTAAAACATAGTATAATTTTTTTTCTGTCCACATTTCCCTGTAATTAACGTACAATCCACAGTGCCTTGTCCAAGTAAAAGCCTGCAAATCCTGCATCCTGTGTTTTCGGAGCGCGAGCATTGAAGATGCCAAGTGAGATTTTGGCGAAACGTCTGCGGGATTCCAGTCGGATGCAGGATTAGCAGGATTCCAGTCGGTGTTCAACGAGCGAACGGATGATATCCCGGAATATAGTGTCATCACATTTTTCCATCCATATATATATATATATATATATATATATATATATATATATATATATATATATATATATATATATATATTCTCACGTATTGATTCACGGATGGAAAAATGTAAGGACACTATATTCCGGGATATCATCCGTTCGCTCGTTGAACTCCGACTGGAATACTGCATCCGACTGGAATCCTGCAAATCCTGCATCCGACTGGAATCCTGCAAATCCGGCATCCGACTGGAATCCTGCAGATGTTTCGCCAAAATCTCACTTGGCATCTTCAATGCTCGCGCTCCGTGTTCGAAGTGTTCGAAGTGTTCCAGTATTCCAGTCGGAGTTCAACGAGCGAACGGATGATATCCCGGAATATAGTGTCCTCATATATATATATATATATATATATATATATATATATATATATATATATATATATATATATATATATATATATATATATATATATATATATATATATATGTATATATATATATATATTGTTATTTAATATTTCTGGGTGCTTCCTATCAAATTATACAAAGGTAGATGTTATCTGCCGAAAAAATATAAAATACTTGCCAATCCCAGAAAAAAATCAAAATTTATGTCCATATTTGATTAAGGGTAGGTCTAACAAATTGGTTAATTTTATACAGGGCCTTGCGACAAAAATAGCTCATGCCAAGCTTTTGTGCCAAACTGTATATCCAAACTAATATCTAGGTCAGTCGCTTGCTCCCACAACTCTAGTCAAGTCTTTCAGTTCTACGGATACATTCGATTGCCTCCACCTCTGCATAGAGGTACATACTGAGTTTAAGGAAGTAAGGCACCTTCGACATTTCTAAAATTAATACTTCTAAAATTAATACTTATATCTGCAAATATTTTTTTTACTAATAACTTCTTTACCTTGTTGCAAGTCTTTTGCATATATTCTTTTGGTCTCCTATCTTATACATGTCTGCAACTCCCGTCTTGTATTTGGTCCTTCAAGTGTTCACTGTCCCTTCCAATATGCTTTTTTGTGAGTTAGTATAAAATATTAAATCAATTTTACCTCGTACCGTTACACCATCTGCATGGATAATACATAAAGTCGTCGTGAAAAACTATTTTTAAGGGGTTATGTTCCTGTTCTGCATTACTCTATGAATTTACTACCCACAATTAACTGAATTCCTGTTTAAAAAAAAAGTTATAAAATGTTAGCTTAGTAAGACAAATCATTTTAAATGTTTTAAACTTGATATCTCTATAAAAATCGCTGGTTCTAACCTAAACATTGTGTCAATCGATAAAGATACATCATATCTCAGCTGTTGGTGGATCGGCTGTTACATAGCTAAACCCCGCCCGAACCCAAACGCCGTTCGGGACTTTCGACCATTTGCTATATGTAGATCCCGCGCGAAACGAGACTCACCGAGACTTTCCGAAATGGAACCGAACGCCGTTCGGGATTTTCGACACTTTGTAATGTTGCCGAGGAAATATCTCCGAAAACATCCGATCCGAATGAAACCGACGTAGTAAAATGAGCGTTTCCGCAAGCTAGATTAGTAGATAATTAGGTATTTTATTAATTTTTTATTAATTTTATTAATTTTTATGTATAATAAACGAGTGCCGTTTACCACACTTGTTGTATATTATACTATTACGAAAGTCAAAGAAACTCCTAAATATAATATTCTAACGAGTGCCGTTTACCACACTTGTTGTGTATTATACTATTACGAAAGTCAAAGAAAGTCCTAAATATAATATTCTAACATATTTCGCAAACTCAAGTGGAAAGTGTACAACTTCTTAAGTAAAAAATTAATAAAATATAATAAAAGTCCAACAAATTATAAGTTAAAGACACAATTTTTTTTTTTTTTCAAAAAACATCCACAGGCTACTGTAATACTTTTTACAAATCTTCTGGATTCCTCCTGCGTCGAACTTGCTCACATTTCGCCTATCATCCTCTTGGCTTCTTCAGAGCTTGACTGAAACTGACCGACGCAGGAGGAATCTAGAAGTTTTGTAAAAAGTACAAATTAAATTCACTTGAAGCTTTGGAAATTAATTTAAAAAGTTGAAAAAGTGTACAAGGTCAATTAGATCTTAATAATTCACCCCTATAAAACTTATGTGGAACTTAATCATTTAATTACTTAATTATTGCAAACCTAATGTTGCATTGTTTAAAAAATCATTATGGATTCCAACTTTCGCCAGTCGATTTATTTATTTGACATTTGTTTAAAACAATGTCTGGAGTTAAATTAAACCCCAATTTTACTTCTCCTTGATTTATAATTTCACAACATCCCCCAAAATTAAATTTGCCCAAAATGTATTTCGTGTTTAGTAATCAAGATATAGGAATCATAGCTCCTTAAAGTTTCACAGATAGCGGCAATAGCGACCTCAGGTCATTTCCTGTCGATAAACTAAATCTCCGTGGAAGCGAGAATTTTGACAAATCCAATTGGCATTTAGGAAAACTGGGATAACATTGTAGTTTCACGGAAGCGCTATGGCGAGCAGTTTGTTAAGGCTAAATCATTGACTCCAATGGGAATGGTCTAACTTTGCCAATTAATCTTACCAACCTAGTAAAACAAATATTTGTTACTAAGTTACTAAGTTTGGATTTATAAACGGCTTATCTCCTATACGAAGGTGCAAAAAGTCCCGTCCCTTTTTATTTTTGAAAATGCCTTTTTTGTTATGGGACATCCTATTTTATATATTTTTATTCTTCAGACCATGATATATCACAAGCAATGTTTTGGAAAACTAAAAAAGATTGGGATTTAAATGATTTTCCCATAATGTCTGTGCAAAAGAAGAATCGTACCTTTCTTGTCAGCCTGAATTAGCTACAGTGTACAAGGCAGAACAAGGCTATATACATCAAAATTTTTAACTACTGGAACATTCAGTTTGTCATAAATATCAAAAATATACAAAAAGATAAAAATAAAAAATAAATCAATCGAAAATACTTCGATGCGGAACAAGATCACCATCGTGCTAAAGATATTATCTAAAAATGTCATAAAAATACACACAAACCAAAATCAATTTCATCTGGAAAATTACAAAACAAACAGGAAATTAATTAAAGCAGAAAGATTAATTATATCCCACAGAGAAATTACATGCCTAATTTGCGTGGTTTTTGATTGAGCGATGAGGGTGGTTGTTAAATTGGACCTCTAGTTGCATTTTTGACTTTGGCTATTGGCTTCTTCAGAGCTCAACCGAAACTGGCTCGCATTCTACTTTGTATCTGCTACACATTATTTGTTTGAAGGGCGGAACTAAAGGAGGGGAATGAATATTGTCTCGGCTGACTGATTCCCAAATTGGTGAAAAGTGACGGTAAAGCTTGTTTGGTTGTTTATAGATTTCTATATATTCTCGGATTTTTTGTAGTAAGGTTGTGGTGAAGTGTATTTTGTGGCGGAACATCCCTAATGTGGAAATTCTTAGAGAGAAGAGCAGATGTAAAGTGTTTTACTTCTTCTTCTTCCTCTTACTCGATTTAAAAAAGTGTCTGAATAATGCCACATTTTAACAGCTTTCAAACCAACCTGAATCCGGTAATCCAATGCATAAAGTTTCCTCAAAAATTTTACCTGCTCAATCTTCACTGTAGGTATAATAAGAGTGGAGGTGGTTGTATAAAGAAGCGAATCTGGAACACACTGTATAAAAAAAACATGTTTTTTGGTCATTTTGCCAAATCTCGCGCCTCTTCTAGTTCAAGAATTTTTTCGATCGGACACAAGATATTCGAGAAAATCGAGTTTTTTCAGTTCCAAAAAAAAAAATTGAAAAATCTTTTTAAAATACTTCGGGACTTCCTATCCCGTCCAGTTTCAGTAAATTCCATCTGGGGATGCTCAAGTGGATACTAACACTCGTATTCATAGTCGAGCGCCAGCCGCCCGCTGGTTGCAGATTTCCTGAAAATGTTCATTCTTATTTCATAGTCGAGCGCCCTCCGAATGACGCCTGCGCAGAACGGTGTTTTGATGTTCTAAGCTCTCGCCGGCGGGCGATTGGATAAGTTTATTTTTTTCGTTTCATAGTCGAATTTCGAGGAAAGAACACATGCGCTGTTTAAGCTGAACCGATTGTCTTTCGCCGGGCGACTGGAGCATGTCCCGACATTCTCCGGGCGACTCGCCAGTTGAATTTAAGAGCATAGACTTGCTATAACTATTATGGAAAACCTTTATAATATTGTCCGACTAAATGCAGAAATCGACGAAAATGATGACATTAATTTAAGAATGCCTAAAAGATATATTAGAGATATGCAAAACCCAGTTCAATTTCACAATGATTTCGAATTTAAACGTCGATACAGATTCAGTAAAAATGTAGTTATGGAACATTTAATTAAATTAGTGGAACCAGAACTATTAAAAGTTAACCAGCGTGGTTTACCAGTTTCGCCTTTAATAGCAGTGTTATGCACATTACGATTTTATGCATCTGGAAGTTTTCAGGTAAAGTATTTACTAATATCTATTTTCACTTTTTCTTTCTGTTTTTATTTCTGTACAGTAAATATATTTAAATAAATGTATTTTTTTAATTGTATTAATATTTAATTTTTGCAGCTTACTTGTGGGGATCTTGGAGGAATCTCACAGTCAACTGTGAGTAGAATAGTAAAACAAATTTCAACAATATTTGCAGCTCAAAGTCGTAATTCTATTAAGATGCCCACAACACATGCAGAAGAACAACATATATATGAACAATTTTACCAGATTGCGCACTTTCCTGAGGTAGTTGGCTGTATAGACTGTACGCACATACCAATCAAGAATCCTGGTGGTTTGGTTGCAGAATTATACCGAAATAGAAAACGTACATTCAGTATAAACGTTCAAGTTGTTGCTGGACCATCTATGAAAATTATGGACATTGTTGCAAGGTGGCCTGGAAGAGAACATGACAGCATGATTTTTAATAATAGTTCATTAAAAGCCAGATTTGAAGCAGGGCATTTGCATGGATATTTGTTAGGTGACAGTGGGTACCCTTGTTTGCCATATCTTATGACTCCTCTACTGCACCCAGAAAACGACTCCGAAATTTTATACAATTCGAGCCAAATTAGAACAAGAAACGTTGTAGAAAGATTATTTGGAGTGTGGAAAAGACGTTTCCCTTGTTTGGCGAAAGGGCTAGGAACTAAATTAGAAACTACTTGCGTGATAGTAGTGGCTTGTGCGGTTTTATATAATATAGGAATTGATTTTGGAGAGAACCTAGATGAAGTTTTGGTGGAAGAAAGAGATCCAAATATACCAGAAAACTTACAAGTAAGGGGAAATGCTCAAGGTTATGGAGTTCGTCGTGCATTGATTGCGCGTCACTTTACAGAATGAAATAGTTTTATTATATTATGCTATTATACATATATAACTATATTGAAACCTATTAACTAACCAAATCTAACTTTATTACTAAAATATATGGCATATTAACAATTAGGCATTACTTAATATAATTTAGAATAATTTTTTAATTAATAAATTGATAATAAATTAATCGTTTTTTAATAAAAGTTGACGTAATTCCTCCCTTTTTATTGATAACTCCACTTCCGCTATTTGCCTTCTAATTTTCGCCTCTTCTCTTTTTTCAATAGCTTCTTGTTTGTTTATTTCGTGGATGTCTATTAAATGCTGTCTTTCTAATTTGGCATTAACAATCCTCTCCTTAAAAAGAGCATTCAAGTCCCCATTCGATTTAGCAAAAACAACTTTATCTTTTTGCTTTGTAATATTTTGTAATATTTTTTTCTCATCCGGATATAGCCTTTTACGAGAAATAGAATCGCTGCTTAAAGGTGTTGGAACTTCTATTTCACGTGAAGCTAGGCTAACAGATTTTATCTGGATGGTGGAGGATGTGGATGGCGCATTATTATCTTCTGGTAATGATGACTGGTCTTTTGTTATTGTATGTGAAGGTTCGGATATATCTAAAAATATATGTAGTCTAAATTCGATTTTTTAAAATAATTTTGAATAAAAATAGTTGCACATAATGAATTTAGTTTTACCTAGAATTGTATAATCTTTTTCTGCTGATTCAAATTTGCCATCTGAATCAAAAGGATTTTCCACATGTTCCGTTAAATGCGGAACAACTTCATCAACACCAGGAATTAAAATTTTATCAGGCATGGATTCACCACCTCCTGTAAGCATTCTCGAACGTCGTTCCTCAGCTAATTCTTCTTTGCGTTTTCTTTTAATTTTATCCCAACAACGTTTTAATTGAACACTAGTGCGCTAAAATTACATTTGGATTTATGTACAATTTATACGGTTATTCAAAGTATGCTTCTGAGATTTGTGAGATAATACCCAAGTTTTAAATACTATTTCCATATTTAAAATTATTTGAGGTGGTACAGTGATATTTACCTTTTCTGTAGTTCGACTTGCGTTAAAGTCGTCTGTAACGCTGGCCCATGCCGCATTCTTTTTCTTAATTGTTGATGCATCTGTTCGCTTATCTTCAATGATATGGTATTTTTTTATAATTTGGACCAATACTTCTTTATCTTCTCGAGTATAAGGAACTGCCATAATTGCATAAAAATTAAAACAAAACTGAAAACTTTTAAAATGACTGGTTCGTCCTAGAACGATTATCGTCGACTAACTGATTTTATTTAGAAATTTTTCGATGCATTAGGTATTATGACCATAACGAAAAGAGGAACATCAAGACCCATATATTTCAACACAACCATAAAAAATGTAAACAAAATTGAATCGCTGAATATGCGCCATCCTCTTCGCCCGCCAGCGATGCGCTGGCGACTGTCTATGAAAAGACCAAAATTTTCTTTCTTCATGCAGGCGCTCGCTGGAAACATTACCAGCGAGCGGTTGTTTTCGGCGATTCGCTGGCGTTCGACTATGAATACGACAGCAAAATTTTCTTTCTTCATGCAGGCGCTCGCCGGAAACATTACCAGCGAGCGGTTGTTTTCGGCGATTCGCTGGCGTTCGACTATGAATACGAGTGTAAGCCTCCGTAGCATCCGACTATGAATTCCAGTATTTTGACTGGACACTGCTATCTAAGAAGGCAGCACATGTAGAAGGAGACTCCCATTCATCCCATAAGCACCATAAACGGAGCAGCCAATTAAGAGCACCAGGAGCTTAATTCATTCAGCCCGAGGAACCATCCAAACTCTCGATGAAAGGGGTGCTGTACCTCCTAAAGTACAGGGTTACAGCGAATATTTATAGATAACACGTTAATAAGACAATATATATCGACATGCTGAGGGTTGACCGCCTACACATGTATATTTATGTTTTTACCTTGAAAAACATGTAGTTGGCACCGCGTCAAATATCAGGAAGCGATCCATGTATTCCATTGTGTCTCGTTAGAGTAGATGGAACAACGCTGCAAAGTCCCAACCACTTACAATTTTTCCTACTCCCGTCTGTAAAATACCTAATTGCGCAGCGATCTAGCGTGCGGGAGGCGTCGCTTTACTACGTCAGTTTCGTTTCCCACGAATCCGAACCATTTCGAACATTTCCGGGATTTTACCGCACGGGTTTGGGAGCAATCGGATGTTTTCGGAGATATTTCCCACGCTTTGAATTTTGACGTTTGTTAATTCTGACAGTCACGTCAGTGAATGTTTTCATGTTTTGCGAAAATGTACCCAAGTAGAAAAAGTATAGTATGCAACACGTTAAGTTAGTTTAGGTTTAGTGGAGGGACATACTCCGGAAATAACATCATTTGTAATCAGATTGATTTTATCTTAATAAAACAAAGGTACAAGAAATTTATTCAATTTGCAAAAACATACCCAGGACCCGACGTCAAGTCTGAACACAAACCCGTAGTCTCCGGTATTAACGTTACGCTGAAAATATTGGAACGAGCAGTAAGGAAACGTAAAATTGATGTCGAAAATAGTTAATAGCAACCTCAAATATTTACCAGACTTTCAAGATGTAAATCAAACATGGTATAGCATACAAATCGCTTTATTATCAGCAGGCCCAGAAGTACTGACTTTGTACAGAAAATTAAGACAATCCTGAATGACAATGAATATCAAATCTGCAAAAGAAGGCTGGATAAGGAGGGAGTGTGAAGAAGTAGAAGCATACGACCGAAGATATGACAAGTCCAATTTGCAAAAGAAACTGAAAGGGATTACCGGAATAAATATAGGCAAGTCCACTCTGTTGAGTAGTTCCGGATGTTAAGCGAAAACCCGATTCGCTGGACTGAATATATTAAGGAATTATTCAATGAACTGATTCTTGGCTTTTCTTGGCTTTTCTGAGAAGAGTGGTCCGGAAATTTTGCGTGGGTAGGAGGAATAGCAAATGGTCCTGACGAGATACCGGTCGAGCTTATTAAACTTTCCATTTCTCTCTTGAGTACTATATCCAAAATTATAGCTATAGCCTCGGGTTTAAATCACATTTTAACTAAAAATAAAAGGCAAGGGCATTCTACTGAGACGGCTACACTTAAGTTTGTGCAACATATTAATGATTTACTGAAGAGGAAGGAGCACGTGTTGAAGTTTCTCTTCGACTTGACACGCAGTTGACTTTTTAAATATTGGATTCCTTATCTGTGGAGTTCGTACAATAGGTATGTGCGGCAAAATTAGGGACTGGATTGTGTCATACCTTAATGGTCGAAAGCTCATTATCATCATATCTTAATGTTTATTCCTCTGAGTACTGCTTGCTCTTTGGGTTCACTCTTATTCGTCATGTTTATAAACGATTTGCCGTTGCATGTATTTACTGGGAAAGTGTTCCTGTTTGCTGATAACACTTCGAGCACTATATCGGCATTGGCGGTAGAAGAATTATTCCACAAGGCTAGCTTGATCGTTCAAGATTTTAAACATTGGTCTTTTAGAAATAGGTTGATGTTGAATAAATCTAAGACTATCTGTGTCTATTTTCATTGACTTCCTAGACCGGAAATTAAAAACTTGACGATAGAGCAGCAGGTTTTGTTGTGTGAAATTTTTGGGAGTCATTCCAAATAGCAATTTAAACTGGTTTGATCATAGTAGTTTTTTTTCTCTTGGCGATTTACTTCATTTTTTTTTCACATTTTTAGGAACCCAGGAAAACAATTTTCAATGAAGCTATTAATAAGCGTCAGGAGGGTGTCATCATAAACGGGCAGAATGTAAACATTATGCCGATGATACCATTATAATCACCGACTTAGGAGGCATCTATGCTTGCTAGGAATTGGAGACGACCCAGAGTGCAGGTGGTGCATAGAAGGGGAGGAGACCCTCTTATCATTTGCCCACCGTGCCCTGCTTTGACATGGGCAAGATTGGGAGTCTTCGGAACGGCCCTGATCGATCCGGACTCAGTGCACGGTATTGGGCTAAAGGAGTTGCTGATCTTCTATAGGAGGGGCGGCCTTCGGGACGCCTTCTAGAGCGGCCTGGGGACACAACAATACCAATACCAATATAATCACCGGCAAGCTTGAAGATCTGCTATTCTGCAGAGGCATTTGAAGAGTTTGAAATAAATTTGAACTAAATGAATGAATGAAAAATGAATACATAATTATTACAAAGAAGGCAAATATTAATGGAGTAAATAATAAACTCAAATCAATAAACCTATTTGCAACGGAGCAATAAATTTTGGATTAAGGATAAAAATTCTTTGATTTTAATTTTTTTGAACAATACTTCATCTGTCAGAAGCATGAACCCTTTAAAAGGTAAAAGGCAGAGATAGGAAGAAATAATTAATACTCTAAAATAAAGAATAGTTTGGCCACGTACTCAGAGGATCCAAACATACCACGCTACAGGACATTATGGTAGGAAAGGTCAAGGTCGGAAGGAGTCAATTTAGGAGAAGAATCGCTTGTCTTAAAAATTTAAAGCAATAGTTTGAAATGACATCAAAATTCGGAGCGGCTGTTAATAAAATTGGGACAGACGGAAATGTTTGTAAAATCGTTGGCACGTGAGCTTACGTCACGTATGTCGCATTCATTGAAGGCAGGTAAGGGTAAGGAAGTAAAAAAACTCACATAATTACCCACCAAAGATTTGAGAGGCAATTAGGAATAAAAGAGTGCTAGATGCAACGCCATCTTTATATTAATATATCTCCTCAATTTCGAATTCATGCTAGAATTAGATTATTTGTACACATCGTTGCAAAAAGGAAGCTCACAGCCTAAATGGCAGTCCTGCATGGAAAATATCCTTCCCGAGCTTAATAATTCAAGACGAGAAATAATTCGAGTGTGCAAATTATTAACGCAATAATTAAGGTTAATTGCAAACAGAAATAGTTTCATATCTCAGTCAAGCTTAGCTAATTCGCCCTTAATTAGTAGGCGAGAAGATCGGTCTGTAATTACCGATTTGAGTAATCTGTATGGAGGGTGCAAATATGGGAGACATCTCAAAGGAAATTAAGGCGGTATCGAATTGATTTATTTATTTATGCGTTGTATGCACCTTTTAATGAAAAAAAAATTGGTTGCTCTTGATCTTCCGCCGTATATAATAGATCTGTCAATACATTGCCTTACTTACGCTTACTTTATGTACAAAGGGAAAATTTACCGACAAATAGATGGAGCAGCAATGGGATCATCTCTCTCACCTGTGATTGCCAACTTCTTCATGATTTACTTCGAAAAGAAAGCAATAGAGAAGGCAAATCTGA